TGTCACTGTGGTAGGTTCCGTTGTCACTGTTGTTGGTTCAGTTGTCACTGTGGTAGGTTCAGTTGTCACTGTGGTTGGTTCCGTCGTCACAGTGGTTGGTTCAGTTGTCACTGTGGTAGGTTCCGTTGTCACTGTGGTTGGTTCAGTTGTCACTGTGGTTGGTTCAGTCGTAACTGTGGTTGGTTCAGTTGTCACTGTTGTAGGTTCCGTTGTGACTGTGGTAGGTTCCGTTGTCACTGTGGTTGGTTCAGTTGTCACTGTGGTAGGTTCCGTTGTAACTGTGGTGGGTTCAGTTGTAACTGTTGTAGGTTCCGTTGTCACTGTTGTTGGTTCAGTTGTCACAGTGGTAGGTTCCGTTGTCACTGTTGTTGGTTCAGTTGTCACTGTGGTAGGTTCAGTTGTTACTGTGGTTGGTTCAGTCGCCACTGTGGTAGGTTCCGTTGTAACTGTTGTGGGTTCAGTTGTAACTGTAGTGGGTTCAGTTGTAACTGTTGTAGGTTCCGTCGTCACAGTGGTGGGTTCAGTTGTAACTGTTGTAGGTTCCGTTGTCACTGTGGTTGGTTCAGTTGTCACTGTGGTAGGTTCCGTTGTAACTGTGGTGGGTTCAGTTGTAACTGTTGTAGGTTCCGTTGTAACTGTTGTGGGTTCAGTTGTAACTGTAGTGGGTTCAGTTGTAACTGTTGTAGGTTCCGTCGTCACAGTGGTTGGTTCAGTTGTCACTGTGGTTGGTTCAGTTGTTACTGTGGTTGGTTCAGTCGTCACTGTGGTAGGTTCCATTGTCACTGTGGTAGGTTCCGTTGTCACTGTGGTTGGTTCAGTTGTTACTGTGGTAGGCTCAGTTGTCACTGTGGTTGGTTCAGTTGTCACTGTGGTTGGTTCAGTTGTTACTGTGGTTGGTTCAGTCGTCACTGTGGTAGGTTCCGTTGTTACTGTGGTAGGCACAGTTGTCACTGTGGTTGGTTCAGTTGTCACTGTGGTTGGTTCAGTCGTCACAGTGGTTGGTTCAGTTGTCACTGTGGTTGGTTCAGTTTTTACTGTGGTTGGTTCAGTCGTCACTGTGGTAGGTTCCATTGTCACTGTGGTAGGTTCCGTTGTCACTGTGGTTGGTTCAGTTGTTACTGTGGTAGGCTCAGTTGTCACTGTGGTTGGTTCAGTTGTCACTGTGGTTGGTTCAGTTGTTATTGTGGTTGGTTCAGCCGTCACTGTGGTAGGTTCCGTTGTTACTGTGGTAGGCACAGTTGTCACTGTGGTTGGTTCAGTTGTCACTGTGGTTGGTTCAGTCGTCACTGTGGTAGGTTCAGTTGTAACTGTTGTAGGTTCCGTTGTCACTGTTGTTGGTTCAGTTGTCACTGTGGTAGGTTCCGTCGTCACAGTGGTTGGTTCAGTTGTCACTGTGGTAGGTTCCGTTGTCACTGTGGTTGGTTCAGTTGTCACTGTGGTTGGTTCAGTCGTAACTGTGGTTGGTTCAGTTGTCACTGTGGTAGGTTCCGTTGTAACTGTGGTGGGTTCAGTTGTAACTGTTGTAGGTTCCGTTGTCACTGTGGTTGGTTCAGTTGTCACTGTGGTAGGTTCCGTTGTAACTGTGGTGGGTTCAGTTGTAACTGTTGTAGGTTCCGTTGTCACTGTGGTTGGTTCAGTTGTCACTGTGGTAGGTTCCGTTGTAACTGTGGTGGGTTCAGTTGTAACTGTTGTAGGTTCCGTTGTAACTGTTGTGGGTTCAGTTGTAACTGTAGTGGGTTCAGTTGTAACTGTTGTAGGTTCCGTTGTCACTGTTGTTGGTTCAGTTGTCACAGTGGTAGGTTCCGTTGTCACTGTTGTTGGTTCAGTTGTCACTGTGGTAGGTTCAGTTGTCACTGTGGTTGGTTCAGTCGTCACTGTGGTAGGTTCCGTTGTCACTGTTGTTGGTTCCGTCGTCACAGTGGTAGGTTCAGTTGTTACTGTGGTAGGTTCCGTTGTAACTGTTGTGGGTTCAGTTGTAACTGTAGTGGGTTCAGTTGTAACTGTTGTAGGTTCCGTTGTCACTGTTGTTGGTTCAGTCGTCACAGTGGTAGGTTCCGTTGTCACTGTTGTTGGTTCAGTTGTCACAGTGGTAGGTTCCGTTGTCACTGTTGTTGGTTCAGTTGTCACTGTGGTAGGTTCAGTTGTTACTGTGGTTGGTTCAGTCGTCACTGTGGTAGGTTCCGTTGTTACTGTTGTGGGTTCAGTTGTAACTGTAGTGGGTTCAGTTGTAACTGTTGTAGGTTCCGTTGTCACTGTTGTTGGTTCAGTTGTCACAGTGGTAGGTTCCGTTGTCACTGTTGTTGGTTCAGTTGTCACTGTGGTAGGTTCAGTTGTTACTGTGGTTGGTTCAGTCGTCACTGTGGTAGGTTCCGTTGTAACTGTTGTGGGTTCAGTTGTAACTGTAGTGGGTTCAGTTGTAACAGTTGTAGGTTCCGTTGTCACTGTTGTTGGTTCAGTTGTCACTGTGGTTGGTTCAGTTGTTACTGTGGTAGGTTCCGTTGTTACTGTGGTAGGCTCAGTTGTCACTGTGGTTGGTTCAGTTGTCACTGTGGTGGGTTCAGTTGTTACTGTGGTAGGTTCAGTTGTCACTGTGGTAGGTTCAGTTGTTACTGTGGTGGGTTCAGTTGTAACTGTGGTGGGTTCAGTTGTAACTGTTGTAGGTTCCGTTGTCACTGTTGTTGGTTCAGTTGTCACTGTGGTAGGTTCAGTTGTCACTGTGGTTGGTTCAGTTGTTACTGTGGTAGGTTCCGTTGTCAGTGTTGTTGGTTCAGTTGTCACAGTGGTAGGTTCCGTTGTCACTGTTATTGGTTCAGTTGTCACTGTGGTAGGTTCAGTTGTTACTGTGGTTGGTTCAGTCGTCACTGTGGTAGGTTCCGTTGTTACTGTTGTGGGTTCAGTTGTAACTGTAGTGGGTTCAGTTGTAACTGTTGTAGGTTCGGTTGTCACTGTTGTTGGTTCAGTTGTCACAGTGGTAGGTTCCGTTGTCACTGTTGTTGGTTCAGTTGTCACTGTGGTAGGTTCAGTTGTTACTGTGGTTGGTTCAGTCGTCACTGTGGTAGGTTCCGTTGTTACTGTTGTGGGTTCAGTTGTAACTGTAGTGGGTTCAGTTGTAACTGTTGTAGGTTCGGTTGTCACTGTTGTTGGTTCAGTTGTCACAGTGGTAGGTTCCGTTGTCACTGTTGTTGGTTCAGTTGTCACTGTGGTAGGTTCAGTTGTTACTGTGGTTGGTTCAGTCGTCACTGTGGTAGGTTCCGTTGTTACTGTGGTTGGTTCAGTCGTCACCGTGGTAGGTTCCGTTCTTACTGTGGTAGGCTCAGTTGTCACTGTGGTTGGTTCAGTTGTCACTGTGGTGGGTTCAGTTGTAACTGTGGTGGGTTCAGTTGTAACTGTTGTAGGTTCCGTTGTCACTGTTGTTGGTTCAGTTGTCACAGTGGTTGGTTCCGTTGTCACTGTTGTTGGTTCAGTTGTCACTGTGGTAGGTTCAGTTGTTACTGTGGTTGGTTCAGTCGTCACTGTGGTAGGTTCCGTTGTAACTGTTGTGGGTTCAGTTGTAACTGTAGTGGGTTCAGTTGTAACTGTTGTAGGTTCCGTTGTCACTGTGGTTGGTTCAGTTGTTACTGTGGTAGGCTCAGTCGATACTGTGGTAGGCTCAGTTGTCACTGTGGTTGGTTCAGTCGTTACTGTGGTAGGTTCCGTTGTCACTGTGGTAGGTTCTGTTGTCACAGTGGTTGGTTCAGTTGTCACTGTTGTAGGTTCCGTTGTCACTGTTGTTGGTTCAGTTGTCACAGTGGTTGGTTCAGTTGTCACTGTGGTTGGTTCAGTTGTTACTGTGGTTGGTTCAGTCGTCACTGTTGTTGGTTCAGTCGTCACAGTGGTAGGTTCCGTTGTCACTGTTGTTGGTTCAGTTGTCACAGTGGTAGGTTCCGTTGTCACAGTGGTTGGTTCAATTGTTACTGTGGTGGGCTCAGTCGTCACTGTGGTTGGTTCAGTTGTTACTGTTGTTGGTTCAGTCGTTACAGTGGTAGGTTCCGTTGTCACAGTGGTTGGTTCAGTTGTTACTGTGGTAGGTTCCGTTGTTACTGTGGTAGGCTCAGTCGTCACTGTGGTAGGTTCAGTCGTCACAGTGGTAGGTTCCGTTGTCACAGTGGTTGGTTCAGTTGTTACTGTGGTTGGTTCCGTTGTTACTGTGGTAGGCTCAGTCGTCACTGTGGTAGGTTCCGTTGTCACTGTGGTAGGTTCCGTTGTGACTGTGGTTGGTTCAGTTGTTACTGAGGTAGGTTCAGTCGTCACAGTGGTAGGTTCCGTTGTCACAGTGGTTGGTTCAGTTGTTACTGTGGTTGGTTCAGTTGTCACAGTGGTAGGTTCCGTTGTTACTGTGGTAGGCTCAGTTGTTACTGTGGTAGGCTCAGTTGTCACTGTGGTTGGTTCAGTTGTCACTGTGGTTGGTTCAGTCGTCACTGTGGTAGGTTCCGTTGTTACTGTGGTAGGCTCAGTCGTCACTGTGGTAGGTTCCGTTGTCACTGTGGTAGGTTCCGTTGTGACTGTGGTTGGTTCAGTGGTTACTGTGGTAGGTTCCGTTGTCACTGTGGTTGGTTCAGTTGTCACTGTGGTTGGTTCAGTCGTCACTGTGGTAGGTTCCGTGGTTACTGTGGTGGGTTCAGTGGTCACTGTTGTTGGTTCAGTTGTTACTGTGGTTGGTTCAGTTGTCACTGTCGTAGGTACCATTGTCACTGTGGTAGGTTCTGTTGTCACTGTAGTGGGTTGGGTTGTAACTGTAGTAGGTTCTGTTGTAACTGTGGTTGGTTCGGTTGTCACTGTTGTTGGTTCAGTTGTCACTGTTGTTGGTTCTGTTGTCACTGTAGTAGGTGCTGTTTTTACTGTGGTAGGAACAGTAGCTATTCTGGTAGTTGTCTCAGTTATAATTGTGGTGGGTTCAAATGTTGTTGTTGAACTGCCTTCTGTTGGAACAGCTGGAGTTGTGGTTGTGACACCTAACGTACAGTTGACCAAATAGGGGTGGTTGCAAATCTGGAGAACAAAAAAGAAAAAAAATTATGTACTCACTGCGACTTATTCTCATCTTTTCCTAGACGTCTTCTACGACTGTTAGATAAAAAAAAAATACCACTTGAATATTTGAGCATCTTTGCTCAAATATTCAAGTAGTATTTTTTTTTTTTAGTTAGTTAGTTAATTTAATATCCTCTTATCTGTCTTTTATTGGGTACTCCTTCTTCTTAGAAAGGAGGTTTTTGCCTACCATACCACGCTGGCCAGACGGGTTGGTCTAGGGCTTGTTTAAAATTTTCCATCTCTTTGTGGTGCTGTTTTTGTACGTAGTAAGTTACCCACAGAGTAATAGATAAAACTTTTGTACTCTTCTAATATTTTTAAAATATGGCGAGCTTGATTAGTTATATCTTTCAATGAATTATCAAGACTAGAAATAGTTGTCAGATGTCCTATTAAGAAAACCGCTGAGACACTGACTTAGGTTGCCTGAAAACCATCTGGGAGTCTAACCTCCCCTCCGGATGAGAGAGGCCTTGCTGAAGATAAATGATATTTATTTCTGTAAGTCTTTTCAGATATTTTTACAAGTCGGACTTTACAGCTAGAAGGAGTCAGTATTTCCTAAGACTCACTCTGGGAAGAAAACTGTGCGAGTACAGTATAGCGTCTGGGTAGGCCTTTTTAAGAAATGACCATTGTTTTGAGTCGGCCTGTCCATGATGATGATGATTGATGATCTATACTTATACATTCAGTCAAAAAAGTATCGGGAATGGATGATTTGTTTATGGTTCGAAATTCAAATTTTTTTTTTGTTAGGTTGGCATAACTGTTTTCTGTTGTTTATATTAAATCCAGTATTGTTTTTAGTTATATCATATCTAGTGTGTATTGCGAATTTCATAATGGACAAAAACATCGAACAAAGAGTTTGTCTTAAATTTAGCATCGCCAATGGAATTTCGTGTTCGAACATGAACGTTTCGATTTGAAAATGTTACAATCTTACGGTGAATCGACTTTATCAAAAACATGTGCTTATGAGTGGTACAAAGCGTTCATAAGCGGTCGAGATGTGATGGAAGATTTGCTTCACTCTGGTAGGCCATCAAAGTCTGCAACTGAAGTTAACATCGCAAAAGTGAAGGAAATATTGACTGAAAATCCTCATTCAACTTTGAGAGAGATAGCCGAAGAACTTTCTGTATCTCACGAGTCGATCCGTACTATTTTAACTAATAATTTGGGTATGAAATATGTTACCGCTCGGCTAGTTCCAGAAGACCTAAATTTTCTCCAAAAACTCAATCGCATGAGAGTCGCTGAGGACATGATAGAACGAGTCAATTACGACCCAACATTCATGAAACGCATTGTTACTGGTGATGAAACGTGGGTTTACGAGTTTGACATGCAAACTAGTCAACAAGCTTCAGAGTGGCGCCTTCCAGCTGAACCGAAACCGAAAATACCACGCCAAAGTCGATCAAAAGTCAAAGTCATGTTGACTGTTTTCTTTGACTATCACGGTGTTGTGCACTCGAAATTCTTGCCGGAAGGTCAAACAGTGAATAAAGAATATTATTTCAGCGTTATTCGGCATTTAAGAGAGCAAATTCGACGAAAAAGGCCAGATTTGTGGCAAGAAAATTCTTGGATTTTGCACCACGATAATGCGCCTTCGCACAATGCCATCATTGTGAACGAATTTTTGATCAAACACTTAACAAATACCATCGAGCAACCACCATATTCACCAGATATGGCTCCAGCCATCTTCTTTCTTTTCCCTTACTCAAATTACCACTTCGTGGCACCCGTTTTCAATCGGTAAAAGACATAAAGAAGAATTCGCGGCGAGAACTGAACTCAATACCGGAAACAGCGTTTAAAAAATGTTTTGATGATTGGATTATTCGTTAGCGTAAGTGTATCGTTTCTGAAGGAGCATACTTTGAAGGTGATCAAATAAATTTGGATGAATAACAAACATTTTGTGTATTATTTATCTTTTCCCGGTACTTTCTTGACAGAGTTGTTTTATTGTGGCAACTTCCACATACAGAGAAACAAGCAAATACTACAGCACCATCCAACGAAGAAACACCGAATTACGGTGTATTAGTAGTTACTCCTGTATCGCGATATAAATAATTCTCAATTAGCATATATAGAAATTCCCAACCTCAACCGCTGGGCCACGGTCCGCCAGGCATTATTACCTTTACTGGTACTTTACTGAGGATTCCCTTTGAGTTGCAGGGACATGACACCCGTTCATCCAGATTATAAACGTGAATTTGTTTGTTTCGCCTAAATCACGCCTAAATCAATGAAGCAATTTAAAAAATCCTTTCACCATTGCAAAGCTACATTATCAGAGAGTAATATAGGCTAGTTTTTACAACGATAACCGGCATACACGTGGGTGGAGCCGCGAAGAAATGCTAGCAGATACATAATTTTACATAAGTTATACTCAGATACAGATTAAATTATCACTAATCACTAGACCACCAAGTTGTTCATGCCTTAAATATTCATATATAACAAGTACTAAACTAAACTATACGGAGCGTCACCAAGAGCCGCCTAAGGGAGCAAACTACGCAGGACAACAGCACTGCAAAGAGAAGGAAAACTTGAAACCAACCCTTTACCAACCCGTCTGGCTAGCGTGGTAATTGGACCAAAACCTCCTTTCTAAGGAGAGGCCTAAGTCCATCAATGGAGTACTAGAGGCTATTGATTATGATGAAATAATTTTTTACCTGCAACTGATAGTCAAACCAGGTCCCGGGAGCACAACTTCTTTCTACCATCCTTCCATGAACGCATTGGTAGAACTTGGCACAATCGGACTCATGAGGAAGCAAATGATGTATATTAGTTGGACATTCACGAGGAGCAGATTCAGTTGTTGGTGACGGAGCTTGCGTAGAAGTCACTGTAGTTTCTGTTGTTGGTGACTGTGCTGTTGTCGAGGTCGTAATACTTTCTGTTGTTGTTGGTGAAGCATCTGTGGAGGTAACTGTACTTTCTGTGGTTGGTATCGGAGCTTCTGTAGAGGTCACCGTGGTTTCTGTGGTTGGTAACGGAGGTTCTGTAGTGGTCACGGTACTTTCGGTTGTTGGTGATGGAGCTTTTGTAGATGTTGTAGTACTTTCTGTTGTTGTTGGCGGAGCGTCTGTGGAGGTAGTTGTACTTTCTGTGGTTGGTATCGGAGCTTCTGTAGAGGTCACCGTGGTTTCTGTGGTTGGTGACGGAGGCTCTGTAGTGGTCACGGTACTTTCGGTTGTTGGTGATGGAGCTTTTGTAGAGGTTGTAGTACTTTCTGTTGTTGTTGGCGGAGCGTCCGTGGAGGTAACTGTACTTTCTGTGGTTGGTGTCGGAGGTTCTGTCGAAGTCACCGTAGTTTCTGTTGTTGGTGATGGACTTTCAGCGGTTGTCGTTGTTGCGTTTGTAGTAGATGTTGTTGAGGAGCCCAATTCACAGTTAACCAAATGGATGTGGTTGCAGACCTAAAAAAAAGATTTTTGAAATACATAAACCATATTAAGACATGCATGACAAGAAATTGAAAATTAACAGTAGGTAATAGATTGTTGAGACATACAAATAACAAACACATTATACGACGTAATAATTGATGGGTCAGTACTAAAACCGTATTGATACTTAATTGGGAGCTTATTTATATCATTTATATATTTAGATGCGATCATCGCCTTACAAAACAACTGGAAACAAACAGACTAACTTAATTATGTTGGTGAATGAGTAACGAGGGGTGTACGCGCGCTCATAGTTTAAGCGGCACACCATTAACACACAATATAAGCAATACCACTTAGTGGCCAACAACTGACCGGTATTATTCAAAGCCTTGACAATCTATCTAGGCTGGGATCTAGTGATCTTAGGGAACTTAATAATCAATTAATCGTCAGTAATAATAACTGAAATTCTTGTTCTAAAATAACACGACACACAATTCTAGTAATTTAGTTGTTTAAATAGTAGTTGTTTTAATTTAAACTTTATTACAGTCTACGTAGAGTGTTTAAAATTTTCCATCTCTTTGTGGTGCTGTTTTTGTACGTAGTTAGTTACCCACAGAGTAAATAGTGGCTGTGATACTCCGTATTCTTAATCCGTCATCACACGGATAAAACTTCTGTACTCTTCTAATATTTTTAAAATATGGCGAGCTTGGTTGGTTTTATCTTTCAATGAATTATCAAGATTAGAAATATTTGTCAGATGTGCAAATAAGAAAACCGCTGAGACACAGACTTAGGCTGCCTGAAAACCATCGTAGAGTGCTGGGAGTCCAACCTCCCCTCTGGATGAGAGAGGCATTGCTGACGAACATCTGTACTTATATTATCGTGGCAACTTCCACATACAGAGAAACAAACACATACTACAGCACCATCCAACGAAGAAACACCGAATTACGGAGTGACTGCTAAACCTGTATCGCGATATAAATAATTCTCAATTAGCATATATAGAAATTCAAAAACATCAACCGCTGGGCCACGGCCCGCCAGGCATGATTACCTTGACTGGTCGGGCGATCCTCCCTTTGAGTTCCAGGGACATGACACCTGTTCATCCACATTATAAACGTGAATGTGAATTTGTTTGTTTCGCCTAAATCACGTCTAAATCACTGAAGCAATTTAAAAAATCCTTTCATCATTGCAAAGATAATCATAGAGTAATAAAAGCTACTTTTTACCGCTCTAACGCGGACAAATGCTAGCAGATCCAAAATTTTACATAAGTTATACTCAGATACAGACAAAATTATTACTAATCACAAGAGCAACAAGTTGGTCATGCCTTAAATATTCCTATAACAAGTACTAAACTAAACTATACGAAGTGTCACCACCCCTATTCATCCCGTGGGTGTCGTAAGAGCCACCTAAGGGAGCAAACTACGCAGGACAACAGCACTGCAAAGAGATTGAAAACTTGAAACAAACCCAATACCAACCCGTCTGGTTAGCGTAGTAATTGGACTAAAACCTCCTTTCTAAGGAGAGGCCTAAGTCCAGCAGTGGAGTACTAGAGGCTGTTGATGATGATGAAATAATTTTTACCTGCAACTGATAGTCAAACCAGGTCCCGGGAGCACAACTTCTTTCTACCATCCTTCCATGAACGCATTGGTAGAACTTGGCACAATCGGACTCATGAGGAAGCAAATGATGTATATTAGTTGGACATTCACGAGGAGCAGATTCAGTTGTTGGTGACGGAGCTTTCGTAGGAGTCACCGTAGTTTCTGTTGTTGGTGACGGAGCTTTTGTAGAGGTCACCGTGGTTTCTGTGGTTGGTGACGGAGGTTCTGTAGAGGTCACGATACTTTCCGTTGTTGGTGACGGGGCTTCTGTCGAGGTCACCGTAGTTTCTGTTGTTGGGAGCTGTACTTTTGTAGTGCTCTCTGTAATTTCTGTTGCTGGTGATGGACTTTCAGCGGTGGTCGTTGTTGCGTTTGTAGTAGATGTTGTTGAGGAGCCCAATATACAGTTAACCAAATGGATGTGGTTGCAGACCTAAAAAAAAGATTTTTGAGATACATAAACCATATTAAGACATGCATGACAAGAAATTGAAAATTAACAGTAGGTAATAGATTGTTGAGACATACAAATAAAATACACAATAAACGACGTGATTATTGATCCATTAGTACTAAAACCGTATTGATACTTAATAGGGAGCTTATTTATGTCATGTATATGTTTAGATGCGATCATCGCTCTACAAAACAACTGGAAACAAACAGACTAATTTAGTTATGCTTGTGTATGAGTAACGAAGGGTGTACAAACGCTCATAGTTAAAGCGGTACACCATTGACACACACTAAAATCAATACCACTTAGTGGCCAACAGCTGACCAGTATTATTCGAATCTTTGACAATCTATCCAGGCTGGGATTTAGTGATCTTAGGGAACTTAATAATCGATTGATCGTCAGTAATTTAACGACCGGATGGCGTAGTGGTTTGTGTAACGGACTGCTATTCCAAAGGTCGCGGGTTCGATTCCCGCTCAAGTCAAACATATGTGTGCATGAACATTTGATGTTTGGTTTGGTCTGGGTGTTTCTATGTATAATGTGTATGTATGTACAAAAAAATATATATATATGTATTTATATCAGTTGTCTAGTACCCATAGTACAAGCTCTGCTTAGTTTGGGACTAGATGGCGTTGTGTGTATGTGGTAGAAAGAATATTAATATTAGAATATTAATATTAACTGAAATTCTCGTTCTAAAATAATACGACACACAATACTAGTATATAGGTTGTTTTAATTTAAACTTTATAACAGGATACTTAGAGTCGATATTAATTTATAATTTGTATCATCAATCATCATCAACAGCCTTTACCAGTCCACTGCTGGACATAGGCCTCTCCTTAGAAAAGAGGGTTTGGTATGTACGTATATTTATTTATTTTAAGGATGGTTTGTATATATTGTTTATGTCTACTACATATATATTTAAACTCACTAACACGTTGACTTAAAAAAAATGCCTATGGCATTAAATTCACCTTCATCTATATGTAGAAAAAATAAAAAAAAAAAAAAAAAAAAGACGTTTGGCACTCGGGGACTGCCGCGGTAAAGCTATTGCATAGCATTTTGTATCAACTTATGCAATTATAATTATTTATTTATTTTATTTATGCAGTATTTCTTTTTCTTTGATATTAATTCAAGTTACACTTGTCTTTTTGAGCGTGGTGACCGATAAGAAAACAATTTTTTTTCTTTTATTAAATAAAAATATTGAAGCATATATTACAATTTGTTTTTAAATAAATAAATAAAAAAATATTATTACTAAATCAAATTACATATCCATGTAAGATTTTTCTGCATTATGTTGACGAAATTTCCTTTGACGTTCAGCATTTGATTTTGGTACTGTTTTTTGTTTTGTTTTTAGCGTGAGGTGTTTTTTCGTTACGGAATTTCTGGATTCGGTCCCCGCGCTCAAGGCCCTCGATAGAAGCTATGCAATAGCTTAAAAATTAACCTTACTCATTAGTCTTACTCAATACCAATTCAGGAACTTTTTGTAATTACACAGACAAAACTTGAATTGATTATTTGTTGCTATCCTTTATTATACTTTTACTTTATTAGATCACGGAATCAGTAGGTTAAATACGTATGAAATACTTAAGGACCTGTTGTTATACCAACAGCATTACTCTTAGCTTACCTGCAAATTGTAATCAAACCAGGTCCCAGCTGCACAACTTCTTTCCACTTTCTGTCCGTGATCGCATTGATAAAACTTGGCACAGTCGGAATCATGGGGTAACAGATAGTGTATATGTACATTAGCTGGGCAGCCGTTGGGAAGAAAGTCAGTTCCAGGTGTTGTTGTCGACGTTTCTGTTGTTGTTGACGGTGCCTTCGTAGTTGTAGTAACTGTTCCTGGAGGTATTGTGGACACTGTTGATGTTGTTGATGATGAGCCCAGTACGCAGTTTACTAAATGAATGTGGTTGCAAACCTGGACAAGAGAATAGTATTTAATTATATATATTTTTCTAGGTTTGACATGTATTAACTAAAATAAATTATAGTTTGAAAACTTAAAAATTACGCTTTTGTAGCTAGCCGAAATAAAAAGTACCTAGGTTTTTTTTTCTATAAGTTCAAGAATAAAAATGATTTTATCGTAAATTGGCGTGAAGTGCTAGATCTCAATTGTCGTAAACATATCTTACACATCAAAAACTATTTTACGATAGTTCATAAATTCTTACCTGCAAATTGTAATCAAACCAGGTCCCAGCTGCACAACTCCTTTCTACTTTCTGTCCGTGATCGCATTGATAAAACTTGGCACAGTCGGAATCATGGGGTAACAGATAGTGTATATGTACATTAGCTGGGCAGCCGTTGGGAAGAAAATCAGTTCCAGGTGTTGATGTTGATGGAGTTTGAGTTGTGTGACACGTGACAAATATAGGAAAATTGCAAATCTGGAATTAAAAGTAATATTTGGATTACATTGATAGATGATGATTTTTATTAAAATTGGCATGGAATGGAAATTAAACTACATTTGACGATTTCAACTCGAGAGTGATAAGTTTACTGCTGACCTTTGGGTTCTTATGTCCCCATGATTAAGGGAACTGAACCGCCTTTAATCTCACTCACTTAGTGAACAGTAACAAAATAATTGCTCAAACTGAAAATATCTTTATTTCATTACATTCTTTTAAAAATTGTTTGAAGTCATCTTGGACTCTCAAGTCATAGATCAACCCACATAATAGCAACAATCTGTTTTGTCAAATGTTTAGAAATATGAAGTTAATTCAGTGTAATATATGCTGATCTACAACCACCTGTTTCTAAGGAGTTGAGCCTTATGAGAAGAAAGGGCAAACAAACTCACGGCCACTCCTTTTCCAATTACAGCTAGACAAAACCGCGTCATTAAATACATCACAACATTGTTTTGATGTGTGCGCTAGTATGTCAGTTGTCAAGTACTAAGAGGTAAAAGCAATGAAGAGAAAACAAGATAAAGAAAAAAGCTGGAATAGAATTGAAAGTAAAGTGAAACATAAAAAACACACTAGCCTGCACCACATTTCTATTTAAGAAATAGCAGGTGCTAAATTAATCCCAAGCATTCGTGTCTTCTATATAATCAACAATCGAGAAATAGGCCTTCCGACTCAGCCTACAACACTGGTTTCCTCTGAGGCCGGTAGGCCGCAGTATTCCTCCGGTCTACCCGGTCCATGAGTGTAGAAGCAGGACTCTTCCGCAGTCACGGATATACTCGACTAGTTTCAGCTAACGGGAGACCTACTCTAAGGAGTGAAAGGTCCTTTCGACTTGTGAAGAATTGTGAATCTCTTTAAATATCCACCAAGTTACAAACTTATTAAATAAACTCCACTGATTAAAAAATAAAATTAATAACCAACCTGACGTTCGAAATCAAAAAGTGTTCCAGGAGCACATGACATTTCTGTTTTTTGCCCATTACTGCATGAGTAATATTTAGCACAATCGTACTCATGAGGTAACAGCAGATGTATATTATGGTCTGCTGGACAACCGTTAGGTAGAAACTGCTGTACGGGAGTTGTTGGAGATGCTGTTGTCGTTGTTGGAGCAGCTGTTGATGTTGTTGCGCCGTCTGCACATTCCGCATATTGTTCCAAATTGCAGCGCTAGAATAAAATTGGTTCTTAGAAGATTTTATTCAAACGAAAAGGATAGTTTTATTTTAATAATTAATGGGTATAATTATTTTACCGTGTAATGACGGATTAAGAATACGGAATGAAACTACCCCAATTCATCCCGTGGGTGTCGTAAGAGCCGACTAAGGGCGCAAAACAACGCAGGACACCAGCACTACAAAAAGAAGGAAAACTTGACACAAACCCTATACCAACCCGTCTGGCCAGCGTGGTATAGTAGGCCAAAACCTCCTTTCTAAGGAGAGGCCTATGTCCAGCAGTGGACTATTAAAGGCTGTTGATGATGTGATGTGATGTGATAATTATTTTAATTAAAATTTGTTTACTTTTGATTCTTTGTTAAGGTGACTGTACAAAGGTAATGGACGCCTATAATAATAGTTAGTTAGTCTTATATCTAATCTAATGAATGCGAATTAAATTATTAATTACATAAATTATGAGTGGATTATCTCTAGGAAATTTTAGATTTCACCTTCCTTAGGTTCAGTTGTTAGTAGCGATTACAGAGATATCCTTTTTTTATATATTATTATACAAATAGTTGCCCGCAGTTGAAGGGCTTATGGCTAAGTGGCATCTGTGGCAATCGTTATGGATAGTTGGACCACTAAAAAGTCGTCGGACTTCTGCAAGTCAAACAGTCTATCCACAGAACTTCGATATCGCGTAGTACTTGGGTTGTAGAGGGCTGATGGGAATGTGCAGGATTGCTTAACATAAGTTTTTTGGGAGGTCCATATTCCATTCGCGCTAAAAAATAGTGACGTATCGATTGAGGCCCGCTAATTGACCAATCAGGTTCCAAGAAATTATCGTTTCATGCGAAAGCTTGGAACCTCATTGGTCAGGGTGCGTTGCTTGATCGCTGCGTTAGAATTGCGTCATTATTTTCTTAATGTAGGAAATTTAGAATGGGAACACACATTCTAAATTTCAATTTTATTTCTAAATTAAATACAAAACTCGAGCTTACCCCTAAATTATTGTCAAACAACATCCCCGGCCCGCAACTCCGTGCTATTTTTTCCCCATTACTGCACTGGTAGTACTTGCTGCAGTCTGTCCCGTGCGGGAGCAAGAGATGGACATTGAAATCTGACGGGCAACCGTTGGGGAGAAACGGTGCTTGCGTTGTTGTGGTTGTTGTTGTTGATGGAGGGCTTGCTATGTGACACCTGGCTGCCCAAGGCCAGGTACATCTCTGTAATAATTTGGTATATTTGTAAAACCACATTAATAAAAATCTTAAACAAAAACGAATTCTATGCACTCATTACTTAATTCCAGATTTAATTCCGTAATAAAAGTTTGGTCACACTTCAGTTCCAATCAACTCTCTATCTCGCAACTGTCATAGAAAGGTATTTTCGTAGTAAAGTATTAAACATCCAACGTTGACTGTAATGTGGTTATATCGTATTGTAACCGAAAGTTGAATCTGTGATCTGCTAGTCTTAATATTATTTTACCATTTTTACCGAACTTTTATTACGAGAATTGTTCTTCTTCTGTGTGTTTGTTATAAAATTAAATTAAATATTCAAAACAGTCTAAATTCCACCGTCAGGTAACCTCTAGATCAAATTGGTGATCGTAAAAAGGCGATAGAAAAATGATTCTTAAACCTCATCATCATCTCCTATCATTCATGAGCTTCCTGTTAGCCTGCAACTGCCACACACAAAACTTTCTTGACCACACTTTCTTTTATTTTTCTTTGTATAAAAAGGAAACTACCCCGCTAGGAATGTATCCTGTGTCGCGGGGGACTTTACAAACATTCATGAAACGGACATAAACAATACCCAGACGCAGAACAACAATGTATTGATCACGCAAAGTGTTGTCCCATGTGGGGATCGAGCCCACGACACTTAGCGCAGAAGGAAGCGGCTAGGTGACCGCTTAAACCACTACGCCATTAACGCAGTCACTTTGCTCATCTTTCATGTTCACTTGTCCATACCAGGATAACGTATTGATACCTACCCTTGAAACAGAATCAAACAGTGTGCCTGCCGCGCAACTCTGTAGGACCTTTCGTCCATGATCACATTGGTAGAACCTGGAGCAGTCTGTTTCATGAGGAATCAGGAGATGGATTTGAAAGTTTGGGCACTCAAATGGCTGGCTCTGGGCTGAAGACGCGACCATTAATATCAGGAATGTAATGGCTTTATACATATCTGTAGACAGAAAAACTGTTTTATTTATATCCGACTGCGACAGGAGGGTTTTTGTTTTTATAAAAGACAAATCCCGCATTGGGAATATATCCTGTGTCGCAGGGGACTTTACATTTATGAAACTGTCACAAAGAACACCTAGACTCAGAACAACGATTTGTGGATCACACAAAGTGTTGTCCTGTGTGGGGATCGAATTTTACTAGACATAGGCTTGTTTTTAGAAAGGAGATTTTGGCCCACTACAACACGCTGACTGGAAATTCTAAGCTTTGTTTCAAGTTTTCCTTCTCTTTGCCGTGTCCTGCGTAATTTGCTGCGTTAGTCGGCTCTTACAACGCCCATGGGATGAATAGGGGTGGTGACACTCCGTATTCTTAATCCGTCACCACACAGATATACTCGTACTGTACTGTATAATTAAAATCGCCGGTTTTTAAATTTAAACATCCACACATTTTTACGAAGTCGGGTTATATTTGTTTTATTTTTCAATAACTAGCTTGTTAAAAGTTAATTAATATATGTTTTGTACAAAAAGCCTCTCATCCCGTCTCCTATTGTTGCCGAGACCTTTTATAATTAAATTGCAATAAAGATTGCATAGATTGCACCGTATTTATTTCATTGTTGATACAACTGTTGCTCAGATACAAAACGAATAAATTAAAAGTGTTAAACAATGTAATAAACACAACTCGATAACTAATAAAATATTGAAATATAATAATTTTAATTACTTGACACATATTTCACACTCGTGTAATCCCCAACTAGGCAGAGCCTAAACTGTAGTAATCAGACTGCTGATAAACATACTTATATATTTTTAAGTACGTACTTGTACAAAATCGCTGAACACTAGGCCGACACACTGTGGAATATGGCTGAACAAAAGCTGATTAAAAATACTTTTAAAAGTAATGTTGATGTTATTGTTTAGGTAAAGAGACATTCTATGACCTTCATTGCCGACCTTTTGGAATTTCTGTACATTAAGGCTCGAAAATTTAAGAATACGGAATGTCACTATAGACGCTATTTAACAGTAAATCTAGTTTTTTCTTAATTATTGTGTAGGGAATGGTAGCTATATATAATAAAATTATTACTAGACACTTACTGTCCGTGTGGTGACGGATTAAGAATACAAATTGTCACCACCCCAATTCATCCCGTGGGTGTCGTAAGAGCCGACTAAGGGAGCAAACTAAGCAGGACAACAGCACTGCAAAGAGAAGGAAAACTTGAAACAAACCCTATACCAACCCGTCTGGCCAGCGTGGTATAGTAGGCCAAAACCTCCTTTCTAAGGAGAGGCCTATGTCCAGCAGTGGACTAGTATAGGCTGTTGATGATGTTGATGAACTGTTAAATGGACGAAATAGGGTCTTTATACATCGTCTGAAAACAGTTTATTTGACAGCAACGCGTGAATAAGTAGTAACCCTAACCTATGTACGAAAAAATCGAATCATAAATCACCATTCATTCACAGTTCACTGTGATTTTGTCCATGTCTAGTGCTCATCGCACAATATTCGTCCTAGGTGGGAATCGAATCTTTTTCACATAGTTCTCATCTTTATAGCAGATACTGTTTATTAATTTTAGCTTTGTACACTTTTTCCAAATATTTTAAACTTCTGTAAGCCGTTTTTGTTTAACAAAGGGATACTGAGAAGTTTCCTTGAACTAACTTGTAAAAACGTGATTCATTTTTGGTATTAAATTGATATCTAGGCGACTAATTATAATTATTCATAATTATATTTAGTACTAGCTGACCCAGCAAACGTTGTATTGCAAAACAAAAAAAAAAATAGGGATGGGTCACCCTTACCATTTAGGGGTATGAAAAATAGATGTTGGCCGATTCTTAGACCCACCCGATGTGCACACAAAATTTCATGAGGTCAAGCCGTTTCGGAGGAGTACGGGAACGAACATTGTGACACGAGAATTTTATATATAACATTGTCCGTGTATACGGATTAAGAATACAGAGTGTAGTATTCATCCCGTGGATGTCTTAAGAGCCGACTAAGGGATCAAACTACATAGGACAAAAGCACTGCAAAGAGAAGGAAAACTCGAAAAAAACATTATATTATACCAATTCGTCTGGCCAGCGTGGAATAGAAGGGCAAAACCTCCTTTCTAAGGAGAGGCCTATATCCAGCAGTGGGCTATCAAGGGCTGTTGATGATGATGATTATAATTAGTAGTAGCGAAAGTTGTCGAGGTTTATGTCTGTACGATTTTGATTTCATTATTTGTCAATGCGTACGTAGAAATTTCTAGAAATATTCATATCATTTTTTACACAAAGCCTGTATTTTGATGTCTTGAATTTTTTTTATAAAATTACTACACATTAACGATAAATAAATATAGTATTATGTAACAAAACTTAACGTAAATGCAATAATTAAACTCAATTTTAAAATATACAAAAGAAATATATAAAAGTCTATAATTAAAATAATTTTTTTAATAAATTTATTTACATTTCAATAATATAAACAAGGTATATTTTAATAGATTTTTTTTCTTGTGTTTTAACTCTTGTAAAATAATATATTTTCTTTATTTTAAGTATAATACATACGTCTAAAAATATCTTAAGTAAGCTTTTTTTTAAATAGACAACTCCCACATTAGTAATATACCCTGTGTTGCGGGGGACATTACAAACAAAGAACACCCAGATTCAGAACAACAGTTTGTAGATCACACAAAGTGTCATTCCATGTTGGGATCGGACCCACAACACTCAGCGTAGTAGTGAGCGAAATGGCGACCGCTTTTTTTTTAAATTTATTTATTTACGTAACTACACAATTTGTTAAATGTAAGCAAACCTTAAAAGACTACATAGTAGCGATAGTCACCGATTTATTAACCCCGACGCAAAAGCGAAGGGGTGTTATAAGTTTGACGTGTCTGTGTGTGTTTGCCTCTGGCATCTATGCTCCCGAACGGATGACCCGATTTTGATTTTGTTTTTTGTTGTTTGAAAGGAAAATTAGTCGGGAGTGTTATTAGCTATGTTTAATGAAAATCGGTCCAAGATGGCCGCTGCCACAAAATGGCGGATTTTATATTTTTTCATTATCCCTCAATATGACTAGTAGAATACTATACACTATAACAAATTTCAATGCCAATATGTATATGGGGTTGATTAAATTTTTAATTTAATAGTAGTTATTTAACAAATAAAAAACGTAAAGGTATCGCTGTTATGCAATACTTGAAATAATGAGTAATACAGAGGATAAGAGGTATGACATTGATCATGAAATGCTATTGTTTCATCATCATCATCATCAACAGCCTTTAACAGTCCACTGCTGGACATAAGCCTCTCCTTAGAAAGGAGGTTTTGGCCTACTATACCACGCTGGCCAGACGGGTTGGTATCTATACTATTGTTTAAGACACTTATATTTAACATTTTAAAATAAGTTAAAACCTAATTTTGATTGCTTTTTTTGTTAAAATAAAACAGTCTACGACTCGTTGAACTTCTTAACGAAGATTTTTTAACCGTTATGTATCTTTGGGCGTGTTTTAAAAGTAATTTTTTGTGGATTAAAATTAATTATTTTATCAAACTAGTTTTAATTTATATAACTAAAATTACTAATAGATTATAATTAACATTTTTTTTTTTAAAAAGACAACTCGCGCATTAGTAACATTTCCTGTGTCGCGGGGGATTTTACAAACATACATGAAACGAACACAAAGAACACCCAGACTCAGAACAACAATTTGTGGATCACACAAAGTGTTGTCCCATGTGGGGATCGGACCCACAACACTCAGCGTAGTAGTGAGCGACGTGGCGACCGCTTAAACCACCACGCCATCCGTGCAGTCAATTTATTTATTAAATTTTAGTTCTGAAATACACTTACCAAAATATCGATCGATACCTATTTTTTACGATTTTTGCCATTAACAAAAATATGAACGCGACACACTTTATTCCAGAGATGAAAAAATACGTTTCAGCCAATAGAAAAATTAAATCTTAGGTGATCTTTTTACCCTGCTTGCTTGATAACCACTGCTTGATACTGAACACTGGTTGTTCATATCGACGCATATATCTATTGGGTACTATCGAAAAAATTGATCTGTAATACGTCACAGTATTATATTTTCAGTATTACTTCCGATTAGAACTTTTACGATGTAAATAACACGAAATAAAAAAAAAACACTGTTTTAAACTGCGATGCGAGCGTTTCTTTATTGATTATATTGTTTATGGTTTTCTGTTCTGTTTTTTTTTGGTGTTTTAAATTTATGGACGACCGAATGGCGTAGTGGTTTGTGTAACGGACTGCTATTCCAAAGGTCGCGGGTTCGATTCCCGCTCAAGTCAAACATTTGTGTGCATGAACATTTGATGTTTGATTTGGTCTGGGTGTTTCTATGTATAATAAGTATGTATTTACATAAGAAAAAGTATATATGTATTTATATCAGTTGCCTAGTAGCCATAGTACAAGCTCTGCTAAGTTTGGGACTAGATGGCGTTGTGTGTATGTGGTAGAATATATTAAATTTATCGTAGTAGATTTAAAACCGACTGGTTTGGGGATATATTTTTTCTGTAATTTATTATACTGATTATTGGAATTTAATTTATTTTAGGTTAATCTTTTTTTAATTGAATTCTTAATGCACAAAAGAAAATAGTCTATAACACTAAGGGATTATATACCTTTCTAACAGTAAAATAATTTACAAAATCGGTTCAGTAGCGTCGGGGATTACCCCGAACATACAAACTCACAACTTTACCTCTGTATAATTTCTATCATCATCATCAACAGCCTTTAATAGTCCACTGCTGGACATAAGCCTCTCCTGAGAAAGGAGGTTTTGGCCTACTATACCACGCTGGCCAGACGGGTTGGTAAAGGGTTTGTGTCAAGTTTTCCTTCTCTCTGCAGTGCTGTTGTCCTGCTTAGTTTTTAA